ATTTTGGGAATTTTGACATACGATTCCGTATTGCCGTTGTTGAGGACAGTCATTTTTGCTCTGTTTGTGTATCACAAATTTCTTTTGGACGTGTTGCTCTGTTCACGAAGCACGTACCGTGTATAAATAGAGAAGCAGAGTGAACTGACAGAGAGAGAACGGCGAATTTTTTAGAACGGTCCCGTTTTTGTGGCCAATGCGAAACGATACTGCATAATGAATATGCAGTTGACGTTTTGTGTGAAGCTGAAAAATGAGTAACAAATTATTTTTGGATAAATGACTTTTTAATGTTAAAGAAACACACTTGTTTTGAAAATAATTTTTAGAATAGTGTATTTTTTTTTTCATTTTGATTAGCAAAAAACTTATTTTGAAATTTACTTATTAATATGTTGGCAAGTCGGCAGAGCTTTCTAGAACGAATAAGAGCATGAAGTAGACTTCAAAAGCTTAGCCAAATACAAGGATAGTACAATCATATTATTAAAATTTGATTTGCTTATAGATCTAATTACTCATCTTCGATTTGGTGCAATCAAGTCAACCAACTTCGGTTTGATTACAAATCTAGTAGTGCTAAGAATTCCCTATTCTATTTAACAAATATAATATGTTGACGTGAACATTAAAATTAACGTATGACTACTATATATGTATATGTCGCACAACAATGTATCACCATCTAAAATGGTATAAATTTAAAACCCGCTTTTACATGACAGTTATTTTATTATTTTGATGTTGGGATCATCGTATTTGAATAATTAAAATAGCAGCTATGAACAAAGCGATTACGTCTATAAGCAAATTTATGTTTACTGAGTTAATTACACCAAATTGAAGGTGTGACTAAATCAACAAGCAAATCGAAGTTTGATGATGTGATTGCACCAAATTAAAGATCCTTGATCAAAGTTGGGTGACCCCAATATATTCAGCCTGTTAAAACCTCAATGATCGTTGTAAACTCAGTGTATTTTCTAGCAGTCATTGAAGTTTAAATTTCTTTAATCACGAACCTAGCAAACTCCTTTACTTATAATCGACAGATTGCCATAAGTTGAGGGTGTTGCACATCAAGCCTTCTATATGTAAGAAAAATTCTGCCACAATTTTGCTAGAATATACTAGGTAAATTTTTATTGGACAATGGCAGAAAAAAGGCAGACCAACCAAATGCTGTCAATGAAATTCTAGCCGAATTGCTTCTATACAAGCAGATAAATTCGTGGCACATACTACGAAATATGTACTTATGTATCATATGTAAGTTTCATCGCTGTATTTTACCCTATATATTGTGTACTTACAACAAGCAGGCCCGGTCTTGGGCAGAGGCCAAAGAGGCCTCTACCTCAGACCCAAGACCATAAGGGGCCTAATTTTGGCCCCCACTTTTTTTTTTTAACAAGGTGAGCAGGTCTAAAATAAAGTGTGCCGGCCCAAAACTAATTATCCAACAACAAAACAACATCCTTAATACATGTTTGAATTTTGTCGCTAAGGGACCTAATTTTCATCATTTGCCTCAGGGCCCATCAAACATAAGACTGGCTCTGACAACAAGTTTGCAAGCCATGTAAATGGAAGGTTGCCTAAGGGGACCATTGTATG